TTGACTTCAGAGCATTTAGAGTTAGATAGAATAATTGTGTACACTCAATGGCATTTTCGCATGGCCTCGTATCATCATGATTTCGACACCCATGAACTCCAGTCCGACTATTCTCTTAGTCTGGTCTTCAAGTCGTAACTAGACACTTTTCATTATGTTGCGCGATCGACTAACCTCCACGTGGTGCATCCTGGCCAACGTATACTCAAACGTCAAAAAACTATACACTGACAGTTGACTTTTCACTTCTACACTACCATGACCCTATTGTATGCCATACTCCACCACTTCCACAATACTCACCTTACCTTTGCGTCTGTCTCCCTTCCTTTTTTGAATCACTTTTCCATCCCCCTCTCTAATTTTTGTGACTTTGATGTTCCTCCCCTCTATGAAACCCGAAGTCAATTAAAGGACTGCAATTTATTATGATTAGCTTTAAAAAAGGCTATAAGAAAAATCGCCCTCGTCGGGGCGAATCACAACCTCTTCAGATCCTCCAGTGGAATGTCTCCGGACAAAAAGATCCAAATACAGAAAATCCTACAAACCTATGATGTAGACATTTTCACAATTATGGAAGCTAACATTTAGGATGACAAACTGAAGTACTACCAATTCCCAGCTCAAATCTATGATGTAGACATTTTCACAATTATGGAAGCTACATTGATGACACTATGTAGTCCTACCAATTCCCAGGTTACACCCTGTACCTTCTACCTTACTACCCATTCCCAGGTTACACCCTGTACCTTCTACCTAGCCACCAATTCCCAGGTTACACCCTGTACAATCTACCTAAATAACGGCGAGTTGCAAGTGGAATTCTAACTGGAGTAAAAGAAGGAATTTGCAAGTGGAATTCTGACTGGAGTAAAAGAAGGCCTCTGCAAGTGGAATTCTAAATGGAGTTAAAGAAGGCCTCACCTCACACTACGATCTGATCAATAGTATGGGCTCGACACAAGACAAATGTGAAATAAAATCAAGAGTATGTGGGCTCGACACAAGACAAATGTGAAATAATCAGATTAATGATTTGGGAATGTCAAAACCACTTCTAGATATTTGCAGTCTATAATCCACCTGAATGTCAAAACCACCCTAAGGTATGTGCAATCTATAATCCACCCCAGAAAGCTTCAAGATATATGCATTTTATAATCCACCCCAGAATTGTCCCAACTTTGACATTCTGATGTAATCCACCCCAGAATTGTCCCAACTTTGACTATCTGAACCCCACCCCAGAATTGTCCAAACTTTGACTTCCTGAACATCTCATCCCAGAATTGTCCCAACTTTGACTTTCTGAACATCTCACTAACCAGAATTGTCCCAACTTTGACTTTCTGAACAACTCACACATGTCAAAACCGCTTCAAGATATATGCAGTCTATAATCCTCCCCGTCCCAACTTTGACTTTCTGAACATCTCACACAAAACTTCAACCCAAACTTTAACTTTCTGAATATCTCACACAAAACTATAATACTAGGAGACNGTAAAGTCAGATACGGAAATGCTCTATCAAAATCCAATCTTTTACAAACAGGTCTTCCACAGGGAGCTGTCACAAGCTGCACTCTTTTCAATGTCTTCATCAATGACATAGCCGAATTGGTACAGACAGTCATGGGCATCAAGTGCTTACTTTACGCAGATGATCTGGTACTATGGTATTCCGCCCATAAGAAAAACGCTCAGGAGAGGACAGAAAGTGCCCTAAATGGTGCACTTAAACTACTAGCAAACTGGTGCGACAACAATGGAATGGTAATTAACACTGCAAGAACTGCATTCCAAACTTTTTCTTTGGCCCATCACAGCATAAACCCGCTTCTAAGGTACAAGGATACTACCATAGAAAAAACCAATGAGTTCACATATCTCGGAATGACTTTTGACACAAAGCTAACGTGGAAAAGTCACGTTGCTAAATAGCAGAACGCGTCTCCAATAGACTGAATGTCCTGAAGCGTCTTGCTGGTAGCGTATGGGGCTGTCCACGCTCAACTATAAACACCACTTACAAGATGTTTATTCAGCCAATAATGTTGTATTGCTGTGAGCCACTCATTACAGCCACAGAGGT